CCTCCCTCATATGTCTGCTGATATTGGCAGTCCGTGATTGGGTGGGTCACTGTATCTCAGTCCAGGTTTGGTGGATTAGCAAACATCCATCGTTACAGGTTTCAATCAGCATTAATACTGTGAACATGAAAAGCTGCTCTGTAGATATCTAACTTTCACATCCATGTCTAAGTTGTTAGTAAATTTAGTGAGGAAGAAGGATGCTACATGTTGGCACTCTGAAACTTCAACTATCTCTCTTTGACCACCGCCATTGCCAGCAAATCTATCTTCTTTGAGAGTGCCTCTACATTCTGATACAACAAAGATATCTGCTAATACTTGGGTACTGTCAGTGTGGTGGGTGGGGTGGCTGTTGATAAAAACTGGGTGATGTAATTGATGGTACACAACAGGGAGGTCTGTGGCTTTGCTTGATGCCTTAACTGGCACTGAACACAGGTTTTCTACAATAGTTTTGGGTCCCAGTGGCATCATCAGTGTAGACTCTCAAGCTCCCAAGGTGACTTGGAAATGCAGCACACATTTGGATGTACAATTCCAGTGGCTTTATGAAAATATCAATCATGTTCCTTCCTCATGGCACTTGGAACTTGGTAAGTGTTGTTAGATGCTTCAGGCTGGGCTACTGTGCTTCACAACCCTCAGCTATGGTTCTGCCTTGCATGAAATTATTTATAGTATAGTGTGCTTTGGCACTTTCCCCCGGGTTCAGTTGAGAGTTACTACGAAAAAAGTTCCATCATGACTTGCCCTTTGTAGTCCCATGTCATTGACAGCACATTCCGTGACAACACACCCTGTCTCTTTTTTGAGGGCCAATGAAGAACTTGAGATGAATTCCATCCTACACAGAAAAAGTCATTCCTTTCTAAGCCAGTCCTTTAAGTTTTTCCTGTCATATTGTATGTCTTCACATCAAAGGCATCAAACCCCATTTTTGACCCAGTGGAATAGAAATAAGTAAGTGAAAATAAATGAGCAATTGAAAAATAAATAAGAAATGGGATAAAAATTGCATTTACCTAAACTCCTCTTAGGGATATTATTGAAGGGGTTTAGAAGAAAACCATTTGTAAGCCTCTAGACACAACACGTTGGGTCTGTCCAAAAGATCGTGATGCATTTTTGCATATAAAAATATGTCATGACTTTCCCCACAACCTAATAAAATCTAAAGGACTTACTCAAATGAAAATAAGAACAATGCCAAACATTTACTGATCCGTATAGGTAACAGTATAGTATATGGAGGGAGGGTAAGAGTGTGGACATAGATGCCTAAATTCCTGAGTTTGAATTCCACTTCTGCCTGCTATGAACTGTGTAGCTGACCCTCTCTGGGCTCAATTTCATCTTACATAACATGAGGACAGAAATATCAAAATGCAAAATATCTACCTCAGAGTATTATTGTTATGATTAAGTTAGTTAATGCATATAAAGAACTTAGAAGAATATTTAACAGATAGTAAGTTTTATGGAAGTATTGCCCAGTTTTATAAGTGCTTACTCTGTCCCAGCTATTGTTCTGAGTTTAAATGCACTATCTCATTGAGTTAGCACTTCAGTCCAGTGAAGTAGGTATTATATGTATGTTTTACAAATAAGGAGGCCAAGGCACAGGAATCTTATCTACTTGCATGAGGTTATGTAAATAGCAATTGGTAATCAATAACAAAAAATTATCACTAAACTGAATCTGAAGAATTAGGGTTCTGCTAGCTCAAGAGTTTTTTTTTTTCTTTTCTTCCTTTGTTGTGTTTTTTTTTTCTTTTCTTCCTTTGTTTCTTTTCCCTTCTTCTCCTCTCCTTCTTCTCCTTCTTCTCCTTCTTCTTCCTCTTCCTCTTCCTCTTCCTCCTCTTCTTCTTCTTCCTCTTCCTCTTCTTCTTCTTCTTCTTCTTTACATTCAATCACTGTACATCATTATGACATACAAAATGAATTTTCCCAGCATGACTACACTGTGTACTAGTCCAGTCAAAGATATTACCACACACATCAACAGATAATTTTCCATTTTTCTGTCAGTTTAATGTTTTGCTTCTTTTTTTCTCATGTTTCCCTCTCTCCTCCCTAACTGTCTCTAGTATCCACAGTTGCTCTTCACATTCTTCCTTCTCCATTTTATACATTGCTATCTTTCAGTTTCTGCCAGTGTGCATACATTTGGTGTATACTGAGTAGGGACATACAATGCCTCTCTTTTATAGTCTGGCTTGCTTTGCTTAGCAGTAAGTCTTCCATTTTCATCTACTTTCTATCAAATGTCAGGATGTCATTGCATTTTATGACTGAATGTAGTATACATGTGCCACACTTCAATCCATTCATCTATTCTTGGATATTTGGGTTGTTTACATGTCTTAACAATTGTGAACAAAGCAGCAGTAAACATAGATGTGCAAGTGTTTTTCTGACTGGGTGTATTCCTATCTTTTGGGTATATACACAAGAGTGGAATTGCTGGACCCGTATGGGCTTTGGGGTTTTTGAGTGGAGTATGCATGTTTGAAAGAAAAGAAAAATTGCTCAGGACGGCTAATAGCTAATGAAATACTGAGCCTGCAGAGTAAAAGTCTTGAGAAGACATATTGGGGTAAACATGAGAGATCAGAATCTACTGGATAATACAACATTGGAGGGAACCAGCAGGTGGCATGGTGGTTAAGGCGCTGGATACTCCCACATGTCTGACTACGGTTTGAGTCCTCGACCTGGCAGTTTGTTTCCTCACTTTCTCTCTATCTCTCTCTGTGTCTCTCTCTGGTCAAATTAAAATAAATGAATGAATAAATAAAATTCTCTTAAAAAATACAACATTGGAGATGCTTTGCTCTGAGTCTTCCATGTGAGCCTACTCAACCTACTACATCTTCAGGTCATGAGTGGAATGTTGAATAATGATCTCAATCCATCATTCCTTCAAGAGCAGACCTGCATATCCGCACCATCAGCATGGCCTCCTGGCAGGTCTGAGTTTGTATCCTACCCAATAACTTTTGAATTGTTGATATTGTTTGGGCCAGAAAAGATTTATTACATGTGATGTGAATAAAAGTTTAAAAAGGTGCTTATAGGATTTACTTCCTTCTCCTGTGCTTTTGTCATGACCTTGGAGGGAATAAACCCCAGGTGTCCATAGTCCCTCCTGTGATTCAGAGTGTGACACATGACTCAGACCCACCATTGCATCTCAGCCCTGTCAATCTACAGTTTGAAGCAGAATTTCCCAGCTGGTCCATTAAATGCATGATTAACAAGAAATAAAAAAGCTTATATTGGTTAGTACAGTCTCTTTTGACACCAACTACCTATAGTTAGACAAAATTCTCAGGTAAAGGGCATGTTTCTTCTTAAGATAGACTTTGCTTCAGACATCAGTCACAAGTTTGGGAGTTTTCAGGCACTCTCAACTTCTGATCAACTGGATAAAGAATTCAGGGTTTACTACCAATTAAGATTTAATAACTTGTGAAAATGATTCATAGGCTTCAAATATATGACTCATAGGACTCAAAGAAACAATACAGCTATGATTGCAGTGTTATAGTGAAAAGATACTAATCAAAACCAGCAGAAAGTACTGGCAAGAAGCAAGCAAGTCTGCAAAGCTCCCAAATGTGAAGCTTCCTCGGTTTACTCCCTGTGGAGCCAAGATGAGTTACCCTTCTGGAACACTGTTGTTTCTGTGTCCGAATCTTGTCAACTAGGAAAGTTCACCCAAGCTTTGGTGCCCATTTAGGTATGACTGGCTGAGTCACACCTGTGTGGTTCATCCTGGTCAGTCTCCTCTCTCCAGAGGTCAGGCTAGTCTCCGATAGTTCAATTACCATCCATTTAACCACTTGGCTGGCCTGTCTGCCATGGCCAGCCACCATCCTAAGTTAAGGAAAACTATCATGACCCTCCATGAATAACAAATACATTCCTATCTCCTAGGAAATTTCAAAGACATAGAGACTATGGGCCAAGAACTGGGGACAAAGGTTACCCAACTGAATCTTTGTTGTCATTTGTTATAAAGCATTATCTTATCAATAGCTGACTTTTACCAAATGTCCACCACAAAAAGAATTCACTAAGTGCCAAGCTGGCTTGAAATTTTTATGAAAAGTATCCAAGAGGATGAGAGGATAAGTGATTGAGATAATCACACATCTGGATCTCATAGTCAGACAAATAAAAAAACCACAATTGTTTTAGCATGTATCAAACTCTCATTTAAGAGAACACATTTTAAAGAGTGGCTCTTGTATTCTATGGTCTATTATATCTTATTTGCCTCCGTTGTTTGACCTAAGCCATAAGACTTTGTAGGACTGAGACTGAAATTTGTGGTTCCCGATGACGACTCTTTCTCATTAAGAGATGGTTACCCTTTCTCACCTGACTTTAAGTTTCAAAAAGGGAGTAATTAATTTCTTTCAAATTCAAGTCACATGTCCTGTGACCTACTCAGCACTAGTATTCAAGAATCTAGAATACAATTTACGTGATTTGAAAGAGTCTCCCCAAAACTGACTCCAAGGTGTCTTCTTTCTTTAATCTATTTAAAGATATGTTGGGTTGTCGAGAAAGTTGTGATGTATTTTTCTATGTAAAACTGTATCCTGACTTTTCAGACAACCCAACAGTTAAACCAAGTTTTATTTTGACCTTCATTGCTCTAGTGTATCAGCAAAGAAGAACTAGTCTACCAGTCAGGAAATCCATTTCAGTGATTCTGTTCTGTTCTTTCTTTGCTGTGTGACTTTAGGCAAGTCACTTCTCTTTACTAGATCCCCCAATTTTTTATCCATAAAGTAAAAGAAAATAAAAGCAGCAGCGGATTCTCTGAGTTTCCTGTCAGCTCAAGTAACTGTTTCTTGGACTTAACCAGTATGACCTCAGGTGACTGACTTCATTTTCATGCCTGGCTTTCTTCACATATAGTTTCTGTACATTCCCCATCCCCAATTAATGGCCAAGCTATCATTGAAGACAGCCTTGACTCCTACCTTCCACACCCACATTCAATCTGTCAGCGAATTCTGTTGGTGCCAACTTCAAAACAGACTCAGAATCCATCCACTTCTCATCATGGCTGGGCAAAGTCACTGTGGTCTCTGGTTTGAAAAATTACAACATAAAACGTTATTGATGAGTTATTTTACACTTTTTTTGCACTAATTCCTCAAAATTATCATTGTTTTACACTAGGATTTTTGTTTTCATTTTTTGTTTTGTTTTGAAAAAAAAAAAAAAAACCACTTTGGCATTTTTAATGCCAAGACCACATCTTAATCTGCACTAGCCACTTTTTTTAATTGTCAGAGACACATACATTCATGAGAGAGAGACAGAGAAACAGAGAGAGAGATAAAGAAGGAGAGTGGTCATGTTACAATACAATTCCGTCTACAATTGTTCTTCCTGTCAAGACTGGAGGTATGCTCATGCACACTTGACACGTGTTTGCCAGCTCCCGGGGTGGGAACTCAAACCATAGTCAGTCATGTGGGATTTTGCTCTATTGACCACTATGCTATCGGGCCAGCCATGGACACATACTTCTAGTGCTCAGTAGGCACATGGGAATTGTATGGCACGAGGCTAAAACAAAATGTACAGCCTTCAAAAATTCATGGAAAATGCATATTATGAAAAATCTAGATGTGGATTTCAGTCTTCTGTTTCACTAAAATAAAGTCTGACTTTAATTCTATTTTTCCATGTAATTTTGAAACCTTACATTCTCCTGTCTACCAATGTCCCCATTTAATGCTCCAAGGTGAGCTGCTTGCCACGAATGAGGTGTCTAGGAAGTTATCGCCATAACCCACTCCTCACAAGTTTCTTCTCACTTTGCGTACCTCTTCTCAAGATTGATTTGCTGGTCTCTAAATCAATGATATCAAACATGTTCATGACTAATAACACCTTCATACATTCTGGCATCCAATTGGCAATCTTTTGTTGAGTTTCTGCTACAGGCCATAAAGTTATTCTTCATAGACAACTACTTCTCTAAAGAAGAACACTGAATGTAGCCAACTGTTAATAAAATGAATAAACAGATCCCTAATGGTAAGATGCATTATGATACACAGTTGAGTTGGGGTTGGGGGAAAAAAGAAAGTAAAATTTCACACATATATGGATTTTTTTCTTGTTCTTTTCATGATACTTGATAAAGACAGTTCCTTTTTCTGCTTATTCATTAAAGGAATTAAGACAGATGCTTCTTTTCTTTTCCCATTCACTCATTCCTTTAGTAATCTACTGATCACTATGTAACACACGCTGTTGTCAAAATACAGTTACACAAGGGAACTTGAAAATGTTTACAGAAAAATGAAATTAAAACACACATTTGTTTTAATGCAAAATCTTTTGAAATCCATGTGCTTTTTTCCCCCCAATATTTATTTTCATGTTCAGATACCCTTCAGATGTTCTCCATCCTTGTCAAACAAAGAAATTACAATGCTTTCTCTTGATAACTTTTCAAGGTATATCTAATCATCCTTAAGTGCAGGGGCAATGAGAATCCTTCAATGTTCGGAATTACATGCATACTTACTTATCCCATGCATGATTTAAGTGGACATTTTATTATAAATTATTTTTAAACTCTTAAAGAAAATCAAGTTGTCAAAATAATAAGAGCCATTCTTAATGTGTTGATGTGTGAGTCATCCAGAAATATCTCCCCCTTCCTGGGATTTCAGGATCACCGAGTGGTAGAATTTGAGGGGATCCTTAGAAACCCTCTAACCTCACACTCTCATTCCATAGAAAATTCAAGTGGCCCTTCCAAAGACATGCAATGATAAGAGACAGTACTGGACTGAAATTTCTATCCTGTGTTCATTGTTTTTAGCTCATTGTACAAAGACAAGACTGAAAGGCTTGTTTTTGCCCCCTGATTCTTGCTCCTCTGAGAATTACTTACTGAGGGCATGCTGGATTCCTGACCTGAGAGTGGCGGTTACAGATTCAACCAGGGAGGCCTCCAAAGATGTAGTGAGTAGGACCTTTTCCAAAGCATGAGAGAATGTGAGAGGTCAAGAGAGCAGGAGAGAGGATGCCAGGTTGCGCCACTGGAGGGCACCAAACTATTTTTCTTTAACTGTAACTATTTACTTTTGGGAGGAGAAAAAGCTCCAGTTGACTGGCACCATTGAGGTGAAGACAGAAGGAAGGACACTTCCACTATGCTGACTGTCTTTCTGCAAACCCAAGGCTACGAGTCAGGTATCTGCTGGCAGGCATTACTTCCAGAAATCATAAGTTCTGGCTTCTGCCAGATCTTCAGTGGTTCAAGACCTGAGGAAACTGTGATATTCTGTATTTTTAACAAAGTGAGCCTTTAGAGGAGATCAAAAAAAGCTGGTGCACAGATTTTCTTGAGCCAGAATGATTTTTCACCTTTGTTCTAAACTCTTTAGCCAGAGTCACTTGCCAATAGCCTCCAGAAAATATAAGATGAATGTCCATCTGTTCAGAAACCTACAGAATCATCTGTTTTCATGGAGATAGGATGCTTGTCAGCATGTCATCTTGCTTCTTATAATTCACTCTCTTCATTCTCCAGCTGATTTAGGTTGGATTCGGTCGGTGACCCTCAAAGTCCATTAATGAGTTTGATATTCTTTCTTGCTAGGCTAGTTCTTCATTTGTCTGAGAGGTGGCAAGAAGAAATAAAATGTTACCTGGCATCTCTATTCTATAGCAAGAGGGGATAATTGAGACTCCAGAGCAAAAACCACAGGCTTGCTTTGCAAAGGATACAAGCTTCAATAATTGGTGTGCAATTCAAAGAGTCACAAAACTTTAAAAAGTTACTAAAGGCCTTGTGTTCAATGGCCATCAAGAAGGGAATAAAAAGAGCTCTGGTTTAGCCAGCTAAATGAGAAGTGGACAGAGACCACCTGAGTATCTCAGTTAGCAATCAGGTACACTATGTTTCATTTCACAGTCACTGTGGAGCATTTTGTGAAACTCCGGAAGATGCTATGTGAAATAAATTTGCCTAGGCTCAGGATATAATTTGCTCTTCCAAAGTACTGCCTTTAAACAATACAGCAAACTGCAGGAAAAGGGCATGCCTGGGAATGTAGCCTATTTCTTTTTGCAAAGTTTATTTATTTATTTCTTCCATGAGAGAGAGATACAGACAGAGAGAAAGAGATAGAGAGAGACAGGGTCTTCACACCATGATTTATCCCCTCTAGTCTCAGCCGTCCTGGATCACAGGGAGGACTCAGGTGAACCCAGGATCTCCCCAGTATTGATCCAGTGTTGTAGAGCATTGTATCCATGCTGCTCCACCAGCTGACCCAGTCTACTGCTTTTATAGCACACTATTAAGAAGCCAAGGACTGAACCATCCAGGCTTAATCATTCATCTATTGGAAAAGTCATGGGGAAGGCACTGATCAAGGTCAGAAGTGTAGTTCTAATGAATTCTGCCTCTTAATTATGTTGATAGTATCCTAGATGTTTCTCGTTTTATCCATCGAGGTAAACCAAAAGATGATGATAGTAACCGTCAAATATGTTAGAGTCAGTTCTATTTGGCAAAGCATCTTCCCTTATATTCTACTTAATCCTTTCAACAATCCTATGAGATAAGCATTATTATGTCACATTCAAAGCTTACACACAAAATAAAATAAACTGAAATCATAAGGACGTTGAAAAATGGGTACGTGGTAACACAGTAAGTTGGTCAAGTCAGGGCTCAATGTCTCCTTTTCCAGAGAGTTATATTCAACTCTTAGCACTTTATTACAAGTATTGGTCTTCTAGTAATGACCTCAGTTCAAATAGTGTAATCTTATCAATTGCTGCTGAGGTTTGAATATGGCCCCCAGAAATTCACGTGTTGGAACTTGATGGTACTATCTGTTGTGCAATGGTGTTAAGTGATAATTTACTTCCTTCATGGTGTTCCAGGGTAAGGACCAGCGGAGACAACTGGTTCATGGTGATTGGATCATGGAGGCAACAATCTTCTGACGGGATTAATGATAACTTGTGGGACTCAATGAGTTGTAGTTCTTGTGAGAAGAGGTTATTTCTCACGAGTTGGTTGTTATAAAAGAAAGATCAATCAAGACCTCTCTCTCTTATTTTCTCCTTTTTCTTCATGTATCTGCTTTCTTCTGTGCTTCCCTCAGCCTAGGACTGTGCTGGAGGTCTAGGACTGTGGACTTTCCAACCACCAAAATTGTGAGTTTGTAAATAAATTTCTATCTTCTAAAAGGAAAAAGAAAAATAAAAAGAAAAGAAAATCTATCTCCTTTATAAGCTCACCCAGGCTCAAAGATTTCTGTTTGTAAGGCAATGACGGACTTAGGCATTACCTGTACACATCTACTAAGTACAAGTAATGTTTACGCCTCCATGATTCCTACAGGGAGCTCCTTGTGAACCTTCAACATTTGCTATACGAATATCTATTTAGCCTTTGGGTTGTGTGCTCCTTGCTGACTGGAGCCACATCTTACTCATTTTCACATCCTTTTGCTTTCTGCAGAGCCTAGCTCAGTGCTTATCCAAACAACAGACCTTTGAATATCTGTTGAATTACGTTGAACTAGTTGCTGTAGTAAAGTTTGTAATGATTTGAGGCATGTTGCCAAATGATGCATGCTTGAATTTCTACCAAGGCCCAAAATGAGATATTTAATTGTGCCCTTGGGGTAGGAGGAGATGTTATATTCTATTTTGAACAAAAAGAGCTTTTAAACCCGATTTAAGAACCATAATTATGATGAACTATGGAAGCCCTCAGCAGTGGTCCCACTTTCTGTGTTATAAACTTAAGTACCTAAAAACATTTGAGAGCTAGAGAGCTGGAGAGGCCTTTGTAGCAGCAAGAAAAATGGAAAAGATTTGCAGGATAAATTCTCTCTGATCATACGAGCCCATGGACCTGTCCAACTACTCTGGTACAATAGAGTCCACTGGCCTGCTGATGTGTGGAATCCATCAAAGTCTATGTGGAGACTTCAGAAGAAGGCCTATGTGTTCTCTGGAGGTTGGAAAATGGAATTATTCTTCTCTCGGCTTCACATTCTAACATGAAGGCTGGTGACAGACTTAAACATGTC